AAAGAATCGAAATTAAATATCAGTTATGCTTTGGTTATGATTATAACCAAAGTCTAATGTAGACATTTTTTTAATATTTTTTTTTTGTTTTTGTTTCTTCCTACATATTAAACTAGTACAAAATACCACAAGAACAAAAATATCACATTATGTTTATCTAACCTACAAGCTAAAATCTAGATACAAGAATATATTATCCTTGTGTTAAATACTAATGCAACTTATAAACAAAATACATCAAACATAAAAAAAAATACTTTAACAGAAATATGCAAAAAATATTAAAAACATATTCATAAAAAAATAAAAAATTTCATGAATATGGGAGCACAAAACAAGTTGGAATAAGAAGCCTAGTAAATCTTCTTATCAAGTGACAAATTGCATCTAGTATGAAGAACCTAAACAAAAAATAGTTACATTAACCTTTCGAATAAAAAATAGAAAAAAAAACTTAAGTCTCTCTTGTGATTTCGAAATAGAAACAAAGTGGAGGTTATGGAGTTAGGGACGTGGAAGAAAAGAGAAGAGAGAAAAATGGAGAAATGGAAGAATAATAGTACTAGCGAAGCGACAACGTGGTGGTAAAACAAGGTTCACAAAAAACCAGTGAAGGAAGACAGAAAATAGTTGTTCCTTTGTAAAAAATTCGTTAAAAATAACCTTAAACAACACTTTATGTTTCGATTATAATAAAAACTAAAGTCAAATTCTCTCGCTCATATAAAATAAATAAAATAAACAAAATTTTGAAAATTTTTGCACATATTTCGACCTCAATTCTTTAAGAACCGAAGCAGAAAAATGTGTATGACTTCGGTTATTGTATGAGCAAAGTAAAATCTCCTTGCTCAAATAAATAGCGAGAATTTAAAAAAAAAATTAAAATTTTTCATACATCTTTCGGCCTTGGTTTCTAGGAAATCGAAGAAAAAAAAAATATATATATATATATATGGCTTCAATTATTTATATAATCGAAACCAAATCTCCTTGGTCAGATAAAAAATATTTTTAACATATTACATTATTATATATTATTAATTGATGTTTTTGTTAAAGCTTATTTTCTTATAAAGTTAAAACTAATTAAGTGCAAATATATTACTAATCCTTGCTTTTTTAAAACTAATACATTACTAATCCCTGCTTTTTTTTTATAAGAATAAATTATTTAATATAATTTATACAAATAATAAATTTGGTCCTCTTTTAATTGGAACCAAATTTATGATTTGTATAAATGTTATACTAATATTTATATTAAAATTTAGTCGTAAAAGTCATGATTAACAAAACATGGGTTAATAATATGCAATAATATAATATGTTAAAAAGTTATTTTTAATAAAAAATATAAATATTGTAAAAACCTAGAAAATAAAATATTAGAGTTCATAGATATTTTAAAATAACGAGACCAAGTATTATAAAATTAAAATAATTTGTTAATATAAGTAGAATTTCTTAAACTCGTCTCATTACTTAAAACACAGTTCATCTCTCTAGAACTCATTCTTTAAACACTCTTTACCTTCTCTATAAGTTTTCTTACTTCTCGATCATCTATTTGATGACCAGAAAGTTCCTAGGAGAGCATTGTTGAGTTGTCTTCAATATCTACTGATCAATTTCTACAATAGAGCTAGTAAGTTTTGACTCCTTTTTTTCCTTTTCGTTCTTAATTGAGATCATGCTTAATGATCTCTTGTCGCATGTGAGTTGTAATGTCCTTTCCTAGTTTCCTGTTGATCAGAGGTCCTAATGACTATGTCCCATCTCTATTCGGTGTTTTGTAGGCATTTCTAGAGTTCTTTGAGCTCTAAGCAAGGGTTTAATATTTATAGAGCTCCTTTCTTCGGTGTAAGGTAAGAGAAGCTAGACTTTTTCTTTAATTGATTTTTATGGTGTTAGTTTGGTGTTTGTATGAGTATTAAAGTGATTAAGTGTGATTTGTGTTTTGTGCTAGTGTTAACTTATTTAAATGAGTGTATTTGAGTATTTGATGATGAAATTTTGATGTGGGATATATTGAATGATACTTTGGTTATGAGTTATATGTGAATATGTTGTATTACTAATAGTATTATGTGTTGTAAAGTTTATGGAATAAGGAATTGAAAATCTAGGAGTTTTGGTAATTCAAATGGAGGTTTTGATATGCATTTTTGGTTAGATAGTGTTTGGGTGGAGAAATATGGTATTGTGGGTCTGTTTATATTTCATTTGAGGTTTGTTAGCACCATGAGTTGGTATAAATATGATAGGGAACTTGGTAGGAGTCAATGTGTTAATTCTAGAAGGTTTTAAGTTCAAATAAAGGGGTTTTGACATGTGAATTTTGTTATAAGAGTTAGGAAGGAAAATCTGAAGTTTGAGGGTTAGTTATTTGGACTTTTAGAACTGGTTATGATGTTGAATTGGGGAAAGTTGATGTAAGAGTCTTTGGTGGTTGATGTGTAGAGTTTAGCTTAGTTTGAAACTAGTTTTTTAGGGGTTTGGACTAGTGAGATTTTGAATTTTAGGTTCTTTGTCTAACTGGTCAATTTGGAGAGTATTGGTAAGTCATTTGTGACTTGTTAGAGTCCCTAAGTTGTTTAAAAAGGAGCTATAACTTTGGAATTCAATTTGGGTCTCTAAAGTGAGGTTTTGATTAATTTTGGATTGGAATCTTGTGATCAATCAGTTTAAAACGAGTTTAGGTTGGTTTAGATACATTTGTTTAGGTCTATTTGAGTTTAGAATACAATCTATGAGTGTTAGAAGTTGGGAAATATACATAAAATAGGTCTTGAGTGGTTAAGGAGTGCAAATTCTGCAATTTTAGTGTTGCAGAAGTATGCAGTCCAGCTGAGCGAGTGTATTCTCGTTGAGCGAGCAAAACAGTTCTAACTGAGCGAGTGTAGTCGTTGAGCGAGCAAAATCCATTGTTTTCTTTCCTTCTTGGTTTTCTAGTAACTTTGAACTATGATAGTACTTTGATGATGGAGTAGAAATATCTATTATATTATATGATGATTTATTCTTGAGGTTATATATATGCGTTTGAAGTATGGTTGATGGACGTAATTCCATGACTCGTGGTGAGGTTACATGATTGTGCCTGTTGTTGTTGTTATATGAATGTATGAAGCTTCGTATTAGTGGTCTATTCCAACACTCTAATGATCATTCATTCTCAATTAGAGAGGGGTGAGTCATGTGGTGAGAGTAGCGGGAGGTTTTTGTCTATAGGCTTTTATCATGGCCCTAGGCAACTGAAATGGACTAACCTTGTATGGTAGCTTGGTTTTAGCCAACAATATTACCATTACAAGTGCATAGACTACCAATAGTTATACATTCATACTATATCAAAATGAGTCAAGTCTAAAGTTGTGATATGATTTAGGATGTATGATTTATTATGTGTGTAATATAATGTATAATTGAATTTTATTATATTTATGATGAATTATTTTACCACTAGCTTACGTTTGCTTTTCTATTGTCTATCTTTGTATGTTGTTTCTCTTTTGCGATGATCACTTAATGGTGTGAGCTTAGGGAGTCGCCTTTTCTGTTATTCCAGCGAGAGGTGTGAGGGTGACGCAGAGGTGTAGTTAGATGGATCTACAAAAAGTAAATCTCAATTTTTGAAGAAAGTTTGTTTTACCTAGTTGTTCTTTTAGCATCTATGTAACATTTCATTTTAATAGTTTTATACTATTAAAATGGAATATTACAAATATAACATTTATACAAATAATAAATTTGGTCTCAATTTGGAGAGGGATAATATTTTCTATTTTTTTAAAAAAATTAAAACCAAATTAAATCAAAAAGACATATATAGAGACTAAATTGAAATCAAGATAATGACACTTGATACTGATACTTAGATGTAACATTATCCTACCATATGACACTCACACTCCATGTATCACACATGGACCTAATACGTGGTAACAAAAACTTTTACAAAAAAAAATTTAAAAAAAAAACACTTGATACATAATTAGTATTTTTTTTAAAGGATCTGATTTAGGAACTTTTACAAAAGTTAAAATGTAAATAAAACTTTTTTAAAAGGGAACAATATCTTAAAACTTTCTAGCAAAGCAGGCTTCAAATGAGTAACTAAGATTTTTATTAATATGTTTTTGGTGAAAGCCTACAGAAGTTTTTTGTACTGAGTCCTTGTCCTCTGTGCATGATATCTCCTTACCTTAAAACTTCGTTTTCGATGTCTTGAGAATTCTTCATCAATTTTAGAAATACGTTCTTCCTTGGAATTTATAGCTTATTTCTTGGAAGAGTTTATTTTGTACAATTTATATTTCAGGTTTTGGAGGTAATAAATGCTTGTAAGAGGGTAAACTTTTGTCAATTTCATTCGTTATGAATAGAAAATAAATAGAGAATAAACTCATTTACAACAATTTAGAAGTAGAAAAACATAATTGAATTTAAAAGTTGGAACAACTAAATTATATATACTTTAAAAGAGAGAATGAGCACATGACACTTATTTCATTAACAAATCCATTTGAAGAACATTTTAGCAAAATGTCATTTTTATAACTTTATGGAGAAGCAAAATAATCTCCTTAAAGCTTGAAGTTATATCTTGTATTTAAAATGTACATAAAGATTTGGATAACCAGTTCCAAATTTTGTGTCAAAAAATATCGGTTTTTTACCACAACGATATAAAAAGACTTACTAAAGAAGATAAATTAACTAAAAAGAAAAAAGGACACAATAAAAGAAATGTTTAATACTAGAGAAAATCTTACATATAAGAATTTGAAACAAAAAAAGTGTTTTTCTCATGCTAAAATAAATTATTATACTGCATTAAAAGTATCACATTACTCTTACTATATAAACTAATGTGATAAATAATAAAAATTTTAACAAAAATACAAAATAAATTTTCATTTTCAAGAAGCTTGTAAAGAATGATTTTGTGTTACCATGAAGACTTTTTATGTTCAAAATATTGGACACTATGATGGTGCTAAAGAATTAATCACATGTAGCATATCAGATACCAATTACACTTCCCATGATACAACTCTGTTCACTGTCTATGATTGCTATGGCTCAGAACAAGTACCTACTTTTGACCACACATTCCAAATTTGTAGGAGCAATGCACGACAATAAGACAACAATTTTTGGTTTGGTTTTTCCACATTTCACATATTTCTTGTTGCTTTCTACAATTGATCTCATTGCTACTAATCACTCAGGTCACGTCCTCTTCAACAGGAAACCCAGAATGATGCCAATGATGCCAACAACAACTACGTACATGAATGGTATGCCACCGCCGCTGCGCCGACTGCCGGTTTGGCGCCTCAAAAGCTCCTGCCATGGAACATTCCAAACCAGTTCATAGTTTTTTCATGATTATATAAAATGTAGATAATTGTTCTATGATGTCATTATTGACTTCATCAAACATTTAACCATCATGCCAAGTGATGACTACAACTTGACTGCACTACTAATAATACAAGCATAAAAGTGATAAAGAATCTGAACTCTGCAGTGTTCAGAAGAGAAGAATATAGATAGAATCAAGAACGTATATGACCTAACAGGCATCATGGTTTCTTAGCAATCAAAAGATTCAAAACATATTATGCAATGAATAAGTCTTCCTTCTTGCTATATATTGCAGATCTCAAATCGACAAGAGATAATGCGATTTCATAGCATATAAGTGAATACAAACTTCATTTTACAAGCCGGTTTTATAAATTTAAGTTAGACTTAAAATTTACTTCTTAATACTATGATTTCAATGGGAAGAGTCATCTATAGGAATACAACAAGTCATATAAATAATTCTCCTTTCTATTTCTATGGAAGGTGATAAAATAGTTAGGCATAGAAAACTAAAAGCAAAATGTGAGGAGATTGATTACGGAGGTGGATTATTTAAGGATGTTCATTAATTTTTCAGGGTTGATTTTGAAACTATCCAACAACCATGCTGATATACTCAGTTTAGCATAATGAATAATAGAACTAAGCCTAACAAGAAACTGAACCAGAAGCTTTGAAGAATAACACAGTAGCATATTTTCGATCAGTTATACAGAGTTTTCTATTTATTTTGATGAAAACGAAATTAGTTTAGAAACAGGAAATGGAACATGTTCCTTTTGGTTCCCATGCTTCCATTTTCCCGATCATTAGTCACTCAAAATCAGACAAGGATTTTGAAATATTCTGACACGCTTGGATTCATGAACACATGGCTAAGATTAACTAATCTTTCCCGAATCGTAAATTCAGAGACACTGAGATGGATATTGAATTTAGTTCATCCTAATAATTGAATAACATAGCAAAAGAAAACAATTAGAAGCATTGAAACGATGTGCCATCATAGGATACCACCAAGATCATCATCATCTAAAGGGAATAGAAACATTCAACATAATACATGTATATACAGGCTGTAATACATTTAGATGTATTTTCAGAATGAATTCCATACCAGTTCTTGCTGAAGTCTTTTGTTTTGCTCAATAACATAATTCCTCTCCTCAGTTACCTTTGAAATATGAGTTCTTGCCTGAAACAAACGAAGTTCAAAATGAAAACCGGTTTTCTTTTATTCATATATATCCAAAGCTCTTCTTTGAGACAATTAAGATAACTTCTTCAATAATAATATGGTTATCAAAGAAAATAAATGACTTGAATCAATCCACTTCAAAAAGTTTATCATGAGGAGAATTTAGAAACCCAGAGAAAATTACAGCACCACCAGGCTATGAAAAAACTTACTATTAAAAGGTCAAAACCGGGATATAAATAATAAACCAATGCATAGACACCAGAGCTCATATATTTAAAAACATTAGAAAGGTACTTCCAACATCTAAAAACTACATTAGAGTTATCATTATATTTGATGACATATTTCTACAATAGCATGCAAATTGGTCCTTCTGGTTCGTGATCAAAAGGAGATGTTATTGCAGGCACGTTTGGGTTGGGGTAACAGGCAACAAAAAGCATTAGCTTCTCCCAAATTAAAAAATATTATGTGCCCCACAACAGAATGATAGAAATTATGATGTTAACCACTTTTCTTTGTAATTGAAGAAGAAAATTATGATTGCATGTTACCTCAAAAGAAGTGTCCTGATGCTCACCCCGCTCATTGAAAGCTTTTGAAGCCTACCGAAAATGGCCACAACAATTAGTTAACCAAAAAGATGAAAAATTGTTTGAAAATATAAGCAAATCCACTGGTTACATACCGCATTAAAGTCCAAAGCATTTGAATGCCCATTTTCAGACACAGATGCTCGAGGTGACGAATCTTCATCAGATCCTTCTCTAACAGGGGATGGTGGTTGAGGAGGAGCAACATAAACAACTCTCAACTTGCACTCTTCAACATCATGACCAGATTCTTTATTGAACTATATAAATGAACACAAGAAAACCATCAAATTAAGCACCATGTCACACACATGTAGTTATTCTATCAAGAAAAGGAGTGTAATTTGTCAAATGGATACCATTTCTGGAGTGATATCTTTTGTGGTTGCACCAGGGCTTGCAACTACACTCTGAAGAAGAAACTTATCCTTGCATTGCATCTCTGGAGGTGCCTCCTTTTGAGCTTGCATTGTTACTGAAAACATAAGACACTAACAGTCAATACATAGAATAGTTACTAAACAGTGTGGATTCAACACTGTAAAAGATTTTATACTATTGATCAGTTCAAATCATCATTGATATGATTTTCAAGAAAGTTATTATGAAAGTCAAACAAGCATACCATGGAATTAGTGATTGGTTCGCATTGTCAGTGCAAATATTGTTTATTCAAAATAAAATGGCACAGAAATATGAAAAGAAAAAACAAACAAAAATCAATAAATCAATAGGGTATAGCAAAACTTAACCAACAAAATTACAAATTTAAAATAGTTAAACATAAATAACCAAGTGGCAGACCAAATCAAGCAAAGGAAGATTGTCTTAGTATGCAATTGTGCTTTTATGTGGAAGAGGGAGGAGACTGAAAAGGAGCAAGGGAAGACAGAGTGAGAAAAAGAAACCTATGACATCACATGTAGACCTAGGCATCACAACTCCAGTGTTAGGTCTAACACAGTATTTCTTAGGATTTGTCGTCTTAACCTGCAAAACCACGAATTTCACCCCAAATCAAAATTAAAACTCTCCACAACACAAAATTAAAAAGAAAAGAAAAATACTACCCTTAAAATAGATATAAATTAATTAAAAAAAAAAAGTAAACATCAGAAGTAAGTCAGAAAAGGAAGACTGAGTAAAACTGGAACCTTGAAAGCCACATAGTTGTCTGTCTTGTTAGACAACTGTAAAGAGCATGAGATCTGCTTCCTCAATTCAACTATTTTCACAAACCCAAAACGCAGAAAATTAAAAAAGAAAAATTAGAAGAAGACCCAGAGGCAGAAACCAAAGGAAAAGAAAAAGGTTTAATTTGCAGAGGAAAGTTAAATTTTTTTATTGATTCTGAACAGGCTCACAGGGGAACTGAAGCTCCTGGGGCTGTATGTGGAGGATCTCGGTGGAACTCATGGCGGAGGGATCGGCGGAGAGAGAGATCAATGTCTGTTTCCGGCAAGCGAAAACGGTTGCTGTAGGTAGAGAGAGTCACAACTTGGAAAGCAAAAACGTGCAACACTTTGTGTCTGTCTCTAATCTTCAGAAATATATTTTACATACAAAACATCGAATTAAAGGGTACTTTCGTCATTCCATCTTCAAAATCATGACTTTGCTAACTGGTCCCACATTTATGACTGAAAATCGAAAAACAAAAAATTTTCTTCTACAACTCTAACATATTAATTAACTTGAAATCTTCATAAAAAATATATTATTTTATTTTTATGGTCAAATTTCAGTTTTCACTTTAAATTTTCTGCTATAATTACCAAATTGAACGCTCGTAAAATTATTCTAAAATTTTGGTCTTAAATTTATGATTTAGATATATTTTTATAATATAAATGTTTTAATATTATAATAATGTTTTAGCTAAACTGTAATTAAATAAAAAAAAAACTATTTTTTCTTTTATGATTCATAATTTTATTTAAGGTTCTGAAAATTTTATATGAATTAATTCTTACATTTATAAAGTTTTCTATTATTCGGTATATCCTTAGAAATCTAAATTGATATATTATTAAAAACATTAAAATAATTCGAAATTGTTAACTTTATTTGGTAAAAATGAAAAGTAAAATTATTTTTAAAAAGTTAGAACAATGTATAAATGACTTCATTTGTATAAATGACTTCATTTGTAAAATTTAATTTTTAATTTATATATAAGTTTTAATTTAAATTTAAAAGAAAATATTCGTTATTTTTGTTTCTTTTAGAAGTATTTGATAATGTTTAATGTGATGTAATAAAGAATTTAGAAAATAATGTATTAAATGTGATAAGATGATTTCGCGTATTTTAATATCAAAAATTCAAATGTATAAATAGAATTTCAAATAATGAGTTTTATTATCTAGAAGAATATTATCTCTTTAAAACTCTTTTTCTAAGGATTCTATACCATCTTTTCAAGTCTTCTCATCTTTTGTTCATCAATTTCAAGATCAAATAGTGTCTAAGTGATCATTGAGACAATGTCTTCAAGTCTATCCGATAAGTTCTTGCAAAAGAGTAAGTTCGTTTATACTTTTTTTCTTAGTTTGTGTGTTTTCTCATGCATGTGAGTATTGTTCTATCAAATGTATCATCTACGTCTTCTGTAAGACTCTCTCTTGATCAATGGTGTTAACAATATGTCTTGATTATGATTTTGTGATTTGTAGATATCTTATATAGATATTGTATCTTTATCTTTTATCTTTAATTAGTTTGTTATTATTTCTTATTTGTATTTTAGGCTTAACCCATATTTCTTTTAGGCTTAAATGCTTACTTCGTCCCCATGTTAGGAGGTAATTTTCAGTTTAGTACCTAGTTTTAAAAATGTAGACATTTGGTCCCTACGTTTTCAAATTTGTATCAATTCAGTCCTATCCGTTTAACGGTGTTAAAATAGATAGCGTTAAACTTATTGTACATGTGAGGTGTGGAAGAAATGGTCACGTGTCATTTAGTTGGCCTGAAATGAGTTGACGTGGCAACCACCACTTCAAGGTTGTCTCCTATCTTCCTCTACGCAAGGGAGGCAACAGTAAAAAAAAAAAAAAAGATAACACCTATGAGACAAAAAAGAAGGGATTGCAGTTCCCTATTACAGCAGCTTAGATCTTGATGCACTACTCGATGACGACGCACAATCACTACCTATTGAGACTGAACCAGAGGGCATGGATAATAGAGCCAGCATCCCACAGCAAAATAACTTTATCTCCTCCAAGCACAAAAGGAGTGAGACAACATCTTCATTTGCAGGTTGCCCAAGCCAACTTCATCATCTCCGTTGTCGGCCCTCGTCGCCACTGCTCGCAACCGAAATCGCCGCAGCACTACCGGTCCCCCGCCACATCGCTGCCGCGATTCTCATCCGTCTTCATCGCACAACCTATAATTAGGAAATAGCGAACCCCCATGGCAGCCATTGACACCACCTCAGCAAAATTGCGTCTCTTGCGGTTCAGATCCAACGCGCCTTCAAAGCAGAGGGAACCCTCAAATCAGGTTCGTCCATCAACCCTCACATATTCTTGAAGATAATGAGGAGGGCGTACACTTTTTTGTTTATACTATACCCATGTTTACTACATCTTTTAGTTTCTTTGCTTGATTAAGGTTTCTCTGTTATTCTATCTTTTTTGTATTCGTTGTCTAAACTGGTACATTTTTTAAACATGGAAGATGTTGGAAATTGGGTGAAAAGGTAGATGGGTTGTGTTTATTGTGTTGGAATTGCAGGTGATTAAATGATGTCCTTGGGTGATGAAATTGGAAGAAGAAGTTGGGTGATGTCCTTGGGTGATGAAAAGGGAGGAGTGTATCAGTGGGAAAATTAAAGCTTTCCCACAAAACAGAGCTTCTATTGGTCTATTCTCGGTGTGGTGCAAATCCAACTCCAACGGCTTCTCCGACAAAGTCTTGGTGTCTCAAACGTCGATCTGTCTGGCGTTCGACAACACGAGGTTGTCGTTCTTGAGGAGGGAGAGCGAGGAGCGTTTCTCGTTCACCGGAACGTCGCGGTTGGCTGCCACGTTAACTGATTCTAGGTCAACTAAATGCCACGTCTACATATTTTGTACAGCTCACACCCATAGTAACTTCAACGTTATCAATTTTAACACCGTTAAACGGATAGGACTGAATTGATACAATTTTGATAACATAGGAACCAAATGTCTACACTTTTAAAACCGGATACTAAACTGAAAATTACCCTTGAACATAGGGACCAAGTAAGCATTTAAACCTTTCTTTTATTATAAATACAGTACCCTATGTCTATATTCAACACAAAGGAGATTAATCTTATACATAGTTTTCACTATATTTAACCTGATATTAGAGTAATGGTTTAAAGTTTATCTTAGCAAAATTTGTTGTTTGTTAGGTCTATTATTCCACCTACTATCGGAGTACTATCAGACCCCACTAATGTCTCCCACACTCAAGATGTTTTTGCCTTGGCGTGAAAATGTATGTTGAAAGTCTCACATCGGCTAGAGATAAGGTTAATTTAAAAAATATAAGTGGGTGCAAACCTCACCTAACAAGCTAGTTTTGTAGGGTTGAGTTAGGCTTAAAGTCCATTTCTTAACAATTTGAAATTTTTGATGTATGCTTGAACTAGTATGAAATTGGTAGACTAAAATGGGAAAACTCTATGGTGATTTCTTGTTGAATTAGCTCTGTTTTGGTTGTCTAAGATTATGAAATTTATGATTTAGTTAGATTTGCTAGTGAATTTTGGTTAATTGATATACTAGTGTATTGTTTGAAATTTGGTTGGAATTGGAGTGAGATGATGGATTGAGTCTTTGGATATTTGAGCAAATTGGTATTCAATTTGATATTTAAACATGTTTTGAACAAATCACTGAGTCAATAATACCAATTTGATCATCTGGATAGATCTCTAGTGCAATCAGTCACATTTTGAAAGGTGTAGTTTTTTTGGTATGGCGTTCAACGCCAGTTTCACTACTAAGCGAACCAAAATGTGAATGGTCTAGTGTTGAGCAGTGATAGGGCACTAGTGAGCGTCAGTTACCATTGCAAGTTTGGAGTTATTTTTGCATTTGGCGCTTTGTTGGGTTATTGGGTTGTCTTCCTATGTGGAGAATAGGCCCAAATAATGTGAATCATTATGTCTCACTAGATTAAAATAGAGATGTATCAGATTAGTAGGACACATTAGAGTCATTTGAAGAGAGACAAAAGCCAAGTGAGAGAAAAAGAAAGAGAGAAAGCCTTTACCGCATAACCCTAAACCTGCACTGGTGTTTTCGTCGTTGTGATGTCGTTCATTGTTGGATCGGGCTGATTTTTGGACAGTGGGTTCCAGACATATGGTTCTTCATTATGACTTTTCGGATCGTTAATCAGAGGTCTAGTTTGGGAGAAATCAATCCCGCACCAAAAGCCCTGATTTGGAGAATTTTCATCTTCTTTATTCTCATTTGTAAGCATTTGTGCTTATTTAAATTGGATTATTGAAAATACCATTTTCTATTATTATTGGAGACTCCTTTGTACCCTATTATTGATCATAGTTGATTTTTCTTTGGTCTAGACCACTCATGGTTTTTACCCTTGCATTGATGGGTTTTCCACTTTAAAACTTGTTGATGTCTCTTTGTGCTTTGGATTCTATTTTTGTTCTATTTGTTTGGTGCTCCTCGCAGATTACTCTTTGCTAAGTTGTTATATTTTTTGGCCATTTCCCCATCAAAGTGGCATCAAAGCTCTTTGGTTAAGGGATTGTTTAGTTTACATGAATGGTGGAGGCACATACAAAATTGATTCTTTTGAATGAAGAAAATTATTACCTATGGAAAGGCAAGATGAAGGACTTGCTATTTGTGAAAATTTTGCATATTCCTATTTTTACTTCCAATAAGCCGAAATCCAAGTCAGATGAAGAGTGGGATTTTGAACATCAATACATATGTGGATTTATCAGGCAGTTTGTTGATGATAATGTTTATAATATTGTTGCTAATGAGACACATGCGAGAAGCCTATGGGATAAGCTTGAGTCCTTGTATGCTTCTAAGTTAGGGACTAATAAATTGTACTTGCTAAAAAATTTTGTGGAGTTGAAGTACAAGGAATAAACTCCTATTTCAAATCACTTGAGTGAGTTTCAAGGACGTTATGATCAATTAGCAGGAGTAGGTAAAAAATTTGATGATGATCTATTGGGTTTATTCATATTAAACTTTTTACCGGATTCATGGAAGACATTTTGGGTTTCCATGATAATTGTTACCCCTTATGGTGATATTTCTTTGCAAATGGAAAAAAGTGATGCCCTTAATAAGGAGATGAGAAGGAAGACATAAGGTAGTTCATCTAATTCAGAAGTGCTTATTATAGAGAATAGGGGGAAAAGCTAGAAGAAAGAACAAAATAGTGGCAGAGATAAAAGTAGGAGCAAGTCCAGGTCTCGGTACAAGAACGTGGAGTGTCACTATTGTCAGAAAACAGGGCATATAAAGAAAAAATGTTTTTTTTGTGAAGAAAGAGAGCAAAGACAAAAAGGGT